ATTTCGATCGTAAGAGGAATTATCGAAATAAATCACATTGCGAAGCTGAAAGGCGAAACATTCTTGTAGAATATGACTCAGTTAAAGGTATCCGAAGGAGATATAGAATTTCTAGATTCTTCAAAATAAATATATATTCCTTTCTATGAATTCATATAACTCGCGTACTACATATATCACAATATGGAAACAACTTGTCAGTATAGTTGAAAATGCGTACAGACTCGCTCGTGAGCACATACGGATGGCCAACTTTAGAATACAATTGCGTTCGCATGGCTAAAGCGGATTTGTATAAGCTCTCCAATATTTTACCATGTACATACCACGTTGGTTGGCGTTAGACAGGAAAAGTCATTGGGTGTTCCAGTTGACACGTTAAAACGCGTCTACGTGTTATACAGTATAGTGCATAAATTAAATATTTCCGAATATATCAAACTTCTGAATAAGGACGCAAAGGAAATTACACGAACTAAATAAGTATAATAGGTAATGAGTTGTAGAAAGAAATACAGCGAGATATAGCAAGAAATATGCCCTTTTATCGCAACTGTAGTGCCGTAATACTAGGAATGAAATATAATAATAATAACGTAATTGAGATATAACGGAAAAATGTGATATGCACATTATCGATCTTCCAACGAAACGTCGTTTCGTCGGATTCTAAATACATTTCATTTTCGCAGTATCAAATTTTTATCGTCGTACGAAATTTAATACCGTATACTTGATCCTAATTAATTCGTACGTAATACTAGTACGCTTAACGTAAATGCTATAAATGGTGTACAAGTATTTTTTGTAGTCGCTGCACCTTTCCCCGTTTCTCCTTCATTTTGCAACGCCTATTTATACAGGCTAAGGCTGACGACAACCTTGCAACCCTTATCCAGCGTATTCGTATTATGCAGGCACCTACTCGCGAATTGAACACGACAGCATTTTCCTTCACAGTGATGGCGTAAAAAACGAGGTTCACGCCGGACGTATTTGCAACGTAATTGTCAGAATGTGCTCCAGAGAGTCGTGCTTTTGTGCGTTGGATTGATCGATGACGCCAATGACTTTCCTGGTTGCTCGCGTTTCGCGCTGCATTATGTCGCACTAAGTTATGAGGAACGCGTGGCGTCGTACAGCTCGGGCCTTTGGTGTGTGACGGGGCTTCATCGTCAGATGCGCACGTACATTGGTGCATGCACGTTCTCGTTTACGCGGATATTGTCACGCACTCGTGCGGGAACACGTATTCAATTGTCGGGGCAACATTGTTCTGTATACACGGTGTGTAATGAAAAACATTCGTGTAAAACGCACGCTGTCGTCGCCAATAACTCGAACGTAGCCCTCGTTATTTCGCAACACAATGTTTGATAAGAAAGAAAGCACAGAAAAAGTGGAAAAAAAGAGGGAAAAGAAGGGGCCGGTTCTTTCTTCCATTGTAGACTATTAGGGAGACGATCGCGTGACAAACGCGAGACACTTTATATCGAACGGAATACCGCCTATTATCGTTGATCCTCGTTTGAATTGCAAGGAGCACCGGTGAAAAGTCGAATGCGAACGGACGTCTAAAGAGAGTTCGCGTTCATGCGAACCCAGAATTAGGCCACTGCTTAAAACCTCCGTTTGCAAGGAAATCATGCCTTCTTATTTCGTGCTCGTTCAGTAAACGAGAGAATTTCATTACTTTTGGGAGTTGATGTTTGCGATCTTACCTGAACGAGAATGCGTAATTATAATGTATATATTATCTAAAAATTCAAGATGTTAGAAATAATCGTCTCGTTGATTGGTATCCCATTCGTACGTACCTTGATTACTAATGTTTATGCATAATACGTATACGAAACGAGCTGCACGTAACGGCAAACGTTCGCAGGGTAAAAAATTATTCTCATTGCAAGCACCAGCGATTTATACCCGTATATCGTATAAACGAACTCCATTTACTCGAACATGTCGTTCATGCGACGTATCTTCGCTTTCCTATCGTTTCGGTCAATTTCGTGCGAGTCACGAGAGTTCGCGAAGGTCTATAGCGATTCGTAAATTTTCATGTCGCGCAATAACAAACGGAGCATCGAAAAATATTAAAACGACGACGACAGAGTGAAATCACGGAAAAGAGTTTACGTCGATAGGAATTTTATTGCCGTGCCATACAGGCCTCGTATCAGTGTCTCGAGAGAAGTTCTATAAGCTCGAGTCGCGCGTTCATGAAATCACCTTGCGACAGGCGTAGAAGCAACGACTGCCACAATATCGTTTGCTATAATGCACGTGGAATATAGGAAACGCAGTGAAAAACGAGTTTGTGTTGAATAGATAACGAAAATCTCGTCGATTCGCTCATCGTTTGGCAGTTTGCTCGCATTTATTACTGATCATTCATCTCTGCCACTTCAAGCTCCGACATCTTACGTTACAATATGTAAAATATATTGCGTCTATTTTCATTGTTAGTTATTCCTTAGTATATAAAATTTAATTTAAACAAAATAATGGTTTACTAGTTTCTTCTGGTGCACTGAATGAAGAACATTCATCCGTTGCAGTACCACTGGCACTAGTTTTACAATCTGTTCCATACCAATCGATACCGTGAGACTATCGTGAAGTTACACGTGATTATATTGCCTACCTCGATACTACCTATAATTAGAAACGATTCTGTTCATTTAGTACGCACTTTTTAAATACATATCTTCATTTAGTACATACTTCCTTCCCATAACACGCCATTGTGTCCAAGCTTTTTACGTTACAGTAACGTCAATAAAGTGGGGGAAAGTGCATAAGCTGCAGAACTTAGCCCGAACAACGTTGGACTAACTACTATCTCGCTCCATTTCCTCTTCTTTCATTCCACATTTACTGTACCCTATTGTTTACCTTAAAGACAAAAGCTGGAAAGCTGTTTAAAACGTGTCTGAAAGTAGACAAAACATGCAGTAGACTCTATAAAAAAAAAAAGAAAAAAAAAGGGAAAGGATGTCGTTCGCAACTAGCAACGACCGACCAGCTGATTCTGGATAGGCTGTAGCGAACAAAAACCTTAATTTAAGACCCCTTTTACTCATCCACTCCGCCGCTTGTTAGACGGTCGGAGAATATTAATTTACCTGGTGGGTACAGGACCGTTCTAAACGAGTCGCCGCGAAGCAACAGTCCGAGAATCTTCGTCCTTGCCGGTTTGATACGGTTTCGCGACAGGAAACCCTGGGTCTCGTTACGTCACGTCGGTGCAATTCTCGACATTTTCCTCTGAATGTCCGTTTCGTGTTAATGAACGACTTATCTTCATATTTGCTGTCACCACGTGCACGAACCGGAGCTCGTTTACGGAAGTTGGCTAGCTACTCACCAACTATAGTAACTGCGGAATTAATTGAGATCTCGCTATCCTATCTTGTTATCCCGGTAAATTGTGAATTTCTACTAACCCCGCGCATTGGTGTAGCTTATTTAAGAACGTGCCTCGAAGCATGCGGAAATAAAGGTAAAGAAAACGAAGAAACGACAAAGAAAATTATGCGTTCGCCTGAAACACTGTGAACAGGAAGCAAACGCACATTCAGTCACAGAATAAAAAGATGATAAAGAAACTAATAACTATTAATTGCATGAATCTGCTCGTTCGTGCTGGTCCTGGATTTTCATTAAATTACATTGTCCAACGTTGTTTCCCTTTTGATCGCATGTCGAGATTGCACGCTCGCGCTCACAGTTCACCAGGCTGATACCATTATTGTTTATTACCACTCGTAACGCTGTATTCGAAAACTCTGTCGACGGCGAAACGACCACTAGTGGAAATTAACTGGCCTTGAATATGCAAAGATCGTAAATTCGTCCTCCTTGAAACTCCTTGAAAAATCGTTCCGGGTTCATTGATAAGGGTGATATAGCGGTGTTTTGTCTCTAAATTTCTAACTGATCTAAATTATTCTGGAAATAGCGTTTTTCAACTTGTTTCGCTAATGGTTTCTTGTAACGTAGCAAATTATCGTGTTGTTCTTTTCCTTTCCTTGGTGGATATGTTAGTTGGCTGCAATTTTCATAACTTTATCGATGTATGGACAGCTAATTAGACCGAACGTTTATTTTAATATTCAGCAAAACTGGCAAGATCGATATTTCAGTTTGCTTGGTAGAATGCGTTGTGGCAGTAATATTTCCTCTTGAACAACCTATTCTTCGATACACGCAATTTTTAGAAAACGTAAATTTGAAAATAAAGATAAATATGTGATGGATATTACGAAGCAACGAGAAACTACGAATAAATGTAAAAGCTGTAGAAGACGTAGAAAATATCGACGATGTGGAACTTAAAATTTTTATGATATTAAAACAAATGATTTTAGGAATGTAATTAATTCTGCGCCGAATGAAATAGATACGAAGAAAAATGGCTTTTCTGAAAAATATCATGACGTTTAATGATTCGTAAAACGCAATACGGCAGAGATAAGAAAGTTCGTTAATAAGAAAGTCAGAAAACAAGGATCGATACTTCCAGATTGGTCCTTCGTTTTTTCCGGGCTATCAGATCGCATTACATTCTCGTAGAAAATGAACAATAGCAAATCATCTGAAGATGGCAGCAGCTCGAAGATGGAGTCAGCTAGTCGTTATTTTTATCGTTATTTATAGTACAATAATAACTGGCTCTGACTTTTAGGATATTTTTCCTGTTGATATCCATTGTGGTTGAAAAAACTGTATCGAAATGTAGCCAACATCCGAATAAAAATAAAAGTTACAACAAATGGAATTGCTACGGTTTTGTTATATGCAGACATATATAGTACATCACTAGAGTACATGTTTTTCGTACTAGAGTCTATTTCACGTGGTAATCTTCTCATTGTTTCACGTAAAAAATTATTTATTCTTTTAAAGTCATTCCAGTCTAACGATAAGAACGTCGGATCATCGTCGTAACGGGAAAGGATTAACGGGATCATGTTTGGATTAAAATAACTCATAACTAGTAGTTACAAATCCATGACTCGTTTATTAAGAAATACTGTATTGTTCCGACAATCGCGAAATGGTGGTACGATACGATAATGGTTCTCGGAGTTAAGAACGTTTCGACGCAGTCGTCCCGGGGTCACCGACGTCCCTCCCGCTGACGGTGGATTCGAGTCGTGCGACATCACCGAATAACGAACGGTTTCACGAGATCGATCGTGTGTTTCATGCATCGCGTAAATTCGTCGTTCTCCGTTACGTGGATCGTTCTTTATGTTCCGCGGCTGATTTTAGGCGCGCGCCGCGCCCTAATAAATACGATTCTCTCGTGTTAAAACAACGCACACAAACGTTTAAGAGAAGCAAGTACAACATCAAGGTTTCATCGATTTCTTTCATTTGCTTTCGTTTGAACCATGTTTATATTTCAGGGTTACCCTGTCGATCATCTCCCTCTCTCGTCTCGCGGTTACATCAGGTCGAGCCACTCGCCACTACCGAGCAAATGCCAATCATGCCATGAAATTTCGTAGACCGAGTAATTAAACGATCGCTCAAACTGCGAAGAAGCAGTCGTTCGAGGCGATTATCATCCCGTCGTTCGGCATACATAGAAAATACTGTGTTTGAATGGGAACGCTCGCTTCGAGCCTACGAACGAATCCCCGCGGAACGCGCGACGTGATATCGCTGTGGCGTTGAGAAGTCCCATTTTCCCGTGACGTCCAAACCCCTTCGCGTGATACGACAGAGAGAAGACGTGGACAAAGAGACAGACATCGAGGCAGACACAGAGACAAAGTGAATCACTCGCTGCGGTACATACCGACGCTCCCTTCCCTTCTCTATCCGGCTGCTCCCCTCGTGAGCAAACATCGCGACAACGGAACGAGACATCGTCAACTGCGGTGGCAGTGTGAGATTGGCTCGAAGATTTTCTGCCGCTTAAACAAGATCCGAGTTCGACCGGTCGCGCGCGATGATCGCCGACGCAAATGTCATCGGCGCATCAGGAAGAGCAGGGAGCTGAGCTTTTGGTCGCTTGTAACGCAGTCGTCTTTCGCCAGGCCGTTGGGATTCCAACCTACCGATTCCTCAGTAGCTGCGCACAAACCAACAGGACGAGCAGGTGCAGCGAGAGGTAGAGTCGCGGCGTGGATGGACCGGTGGAAGCGAGTGCGTACGCATACGAGGAGTAGCATTGCCTGTAGTTTTCTGGGTTCAGCCGGGTGACCGTGCAGTAATGATGGAGAGCGCAAGCTCCGTTCAGCGGTCCTCCGCAGCCCCAAATCTGCTCCACTTCCCGCGGCAACGAGACCGTGTTGGCCGCGTAGTATCTATGGGAATATAAGCGGCCGCGTGCGCGGAAAGATAATCAGCCGTGGAGCTGGCTAGGCTCTGCGAGACGCAAGCCACCGTATCGGGACAGTCATTAGCATCGTAATGACGCGATTGCGTTGAAAAGGGTAGACAGTTATCAGCGTCAAGCGGCTCGAGGAATTATCGTGCCGGATAATTGCTCGAGAAATATGGAAATTATTAATGCAGCAACGGGTTCGGCGCGTATACGTCGCGACTAGCTCGTGCAATCGCCGTATCGGATCGCGTAAATGTTTCCGCGCAGTGTCGAGCACATTGCCACATTGATCCCCGGGTACAGGTGCTGCGTGGTCGCGCAACTTTGTCACGAACAACCTACGTCAGTCATCCGTTAACAGCACCTCCCCGGTGGGAGAGTTTTCAAGGTCTTTCGCGCGATATCGCCCATTTCACGCGATTACGATAGCAGGGATGAGCACGAGACGCCTCGAAAGCGAAATTAAAGCGAATTTAAATTACGAAGTTTCTCGTGAAATTGAATGTTGTTGCAAACTTTCAAAGAATCTGGCGAGCTTCGTTAAACTGCGAATTGCATCGTTTTAAATGTGAAAATCGTTGCTTTCGATCGTACTCGATGTTCTATTTTAATGATAGGTGATATATAAAATACTTGGAATGTGAAACTAAAAGTAGGCAAAAAAAGAACAATATAAACGTGTCTACTATTTTTGAATCGCGCCAACGTTGCTCTATTTTTTTACAAGGTATAGTTCAAACTCAAAGTGCAGAGTTTAATTACGAATCGCGTACCATGCAGCAGCAGAGGAACGCGAAAAAACCGAGAAATGCCAAAGTGGAAATACATCAAAGTAACGTTCCACATTTTCGTACGAAATACTCGAGCCCGAAGGAATAAACGGAACGAAAGGGCGGTTGTAATCCGGATGATCAATGATCCCTGTCCACGATACGATCGCGGTCACGTATTCTGCTAGACAGATGGAAAAATTTGTCGGTCGAACCGTTTACGTACCTGACGAAAGCATAATCATTGAATTGCGTGAATCGGTCAGCCAGGTCGTGAAGAGTGATCGCTGTAATTTCCTGAAGTTCATAGTACTCGAGCAGAGAGTACTCGGCCAACCAGTTTGCCGTCCCGGCTGAATTCGCGTCCGGCAGATTAAGATAGTACTGCGTATAATCCAGCACCTGAATACGACGGAACAGAAGAGAAGATGGGTCGACGAATCCTATACAGGCTGTTAGAAAAGAAAAAGGCAAAAGACAAAAAGATACTTAAAGGGCTTATGGTACTTACTCACTCGGAAAAGTAAGACAACGTCCAAGCATATTTTTATCGTTTATATAATCGAAGTACGTGCAATAGAAGTAGAAAAGTTTTCTCTGATAGCATTTTTCGTTCGCGTTGGCGAGAGTTCGGTCGATTAGCATCGACTAAAATTTTCTTCCTATAAACGGTGTTCTACCTTATGTTGATTTACGATCCATAAACGTGAGCTTTGTATAGAAATGGGAGGAAGACGATATTAAACATTTACAAATACGACGATTTGTACCGATCTTCAAGCGTTAATAAGAGTTGTTTTTACATAGAAAGGATTGGCTTTATAGTCTCTGTTGATCAGACATCTTCCACTTTACTCACCATAAGCTCTTTAAGTATCGGCCCCTTTTCCCAAACATCTTGTACGCTCTACATTTCTTTCGATCGAAAAATCGCGTAAATAGAAATCGTTCGGTCAGAGACTACGAACGTCACGTAACGTAGAACATTTTTACCTACCTGACCAGTGGCAGTTTCGAATTTGTACAATCTTAAACCTGGATTGTTTGGCCCTCCAGGCGTGCTCGGTGATATACTGGGTGCCATCATTATCCATGACACCGGCAGACCTAGCGGCACAAACGTCGTCAGGGTAAAATCAATTATTCTTTGAATTCTTTCCGCGTGTCGCAACGTGTATACATATTTGTGGCCGAACGAGTAGGACGTTAACGTAAGTGAACGTAAAAGAGATAGGAACGTTTTTAAAAGCGCGCCAAGCTCGCTGGCGTGACCGATAAAGCGGACTGTAAAACGGCTGAAAAGTATCCTGGCTATCGAACGACACACGCGGGGAATTTATTGATTATCGTTCGCGGCCTCGGTCGTTTCGATGAAGGAACGCTCTGAAAAATATGAGTAGAACGTGACCGAATGGACCTATACAGCGTCGTAAAATTGAACCACCCTGCGTTTACAGTCACTTCACCGACAAAAATGCACAGGCGTTTATTCGATCGTGAAAATTATTTTCGAAAATCTAAGATATTTTAAATTCGTCAGGAAAAACGTTGATATTACTGTTATTATTTATAATCATACACGTTTATACGTTTCGTGGATATTGCAGAAATCGGTAAACTACGGTGAGAATAATATAAATCAAGCGAAAGATACAACGCGATAATCAACGTAATCGTAAATTAATCACGAAAATGTAAACGAATTAATACGCTTCAAATGTTGATATGCTTCGACAACACGTCAAAAAAGTTTTAAGTTATTTCCAGAAATCGAAACAAAAATTCCGAGATATCGAAATCAGTAGTACAGTACGAATGTAAAAGAACTTTTGCGTACGATTATATATATATAAATAGTGGGAAGATTAACAAAGAACGTTTTGCTTTAACGTATATACGATCGTTAATCTCAGGATAACAAAATAAATTGCTCGTTTAAGCTTTCGTTGGATTACGGGCGATCGACATCTACATTATCAGTATATCAGGCAAACTACATAGGAATAATTACCTGCTCGAAGCTTAATGCATTTTATAGATTTTACTGTCAAGCCGCATCCGCGACGGAGTTTGTAATAAAGCACCGACGGCACGCGTTTTTCATCATTCCTTTATGGTTGAACTGGGACGCGTTCAAACTTAGCCAATACGTGTTGGATCGTTAGGAAAGTCAAACCGCTATTGAATCGCCAACAAAGACGCGCTTCAGCCCGCAAACGACAAAAGCGAAATACGATAAAGCCAAAGTCAGCGTGACAAAAGGGAACGAAAGGATCAAAATCACGAATACAGCATCAACGGTATTCACGAGCGTAGCGTTTTGCGAACGGCGTAGCGAAACAATCGCGATAAAGACGCGGTAAAAGAACGAACGTCGATTTTACTTCCATTTCGATGCATTGAACGTTAAATGTTTTCACGCGCGAAGAAAAAAAGGAAGAAAATCCGAGTTGTTAAGTTCGAAGCACGAAGAAGAAAGATAGGCCGGATCAGAAATGTAGCGTGAAGCAAATGTAAGATACGGCTGCGCGTACGAAACTGAAAAAGAAAGAGGAACAGCCACTTGGTGAACCGCGTATCGTAAAAGGTTGAACAGGGTTTTGAGTGCGATACGATGCCTGCGCATCGATCCGACCACCTCGGTTGATTCACCGCGTTCAACCGCCACGCTTGTTGGTATTGCCAACAAGAAGGGACAAGACGTATACACGTACCGGTATCGCTATAGACCACGCGAAAAGTGTCCGAGTGCCAGTGACCGAAGAACTGACCGCGAATGATGTCCGAGTACAACCGGATCAGCTGGAGATATTTGGTATTGTGACGTTCGCTCAACATCGCCGCACCGCTCTCACGATCGTCCACCCCTGGTGGTGTGTGACCTACGATGTATACCTAGAAACATTATACAAAATATCGGTTTAATTCGGTTGTTCGAACGAATCTGATTTTTCGTTTGTCGATCGATCATTCTCATCGATGTTACCCGTGTTGTGTCCTTTCCTATTGTTAGACAAATTCCGAAATTTGAGGAAACTACAAAAGAATCATTGTCGACGCGCGTCATTTGAATTTTATGCCAAAGCTGTTTTAAAAACACCAAACTTTTTAGTAATTAACGAAAGAAAAAACTTCTTCTTCGATGAAACTAAAGTTACGGAGACGTAAAACGTTCGACGACCACAGCAAGATTAACGCTATAAGACTATATAACGCTATAAGAGATTTTTGACGGAATACGAAAAATGTGTCGCGTTAGAGCGTACCCCGTCAAAATTAATAGAATAGAAGGCGATTTCGCCGTCGCCCGCGGCTAGAGGGCTAAACGTAATGCACAGACTTAATTCGCAAGTTTTCCCTGTGGGGATTGTCACGTGACTGCATCTCGATTAAGTAGGCGCGTTGAGCAGCAAGAAGTGTTTCGTGGAATCACTCTCGCAGTAACTGCTCGTAATGAGCAACTCTCTCGTTAGCGTTAGTAAACTGAATTCCGTAAGCATTATCCACGTGGCGTGGAATCAACGCAAGATACGAATCGTGGGCGTGAGTTACCGTGAAATACCTAATCGAGCACGTTCGCCAAGTTAAACGCAGTCTACGCTGATACTGTACCGCAGCTTCTATGTTTAAAGCTTATAAACTGGCTGCTTCCGCTCGATTCCACGCAATGTGAGCGAAATAAAGTATAATAGCGAGAGGGTAAGTAGATGGAAAGTGTACTGCGTGTAATACTTTCAAGTTTCATATTACTTGTTATTAACGTCAAGGAGACATTTGTATATAAATTTGTATATTAGGAGAAAAAGTATCTTTTGTCTTACAACTTTCTTCCTCGTACATTATTTTGAATTAATATTCATTGCATTCTAGTAATTTCGTCAGAACCAAAACGCATCATTTTCGTGAATATATCGTTGTATTTCCCTACTTGAGTATTGATACAATTCAAATAAGAGCTATCTGCGGAGAATCGAATCGACCAGTCATAAATGTACCACTTTTAAATTCGGCTGCCTCGGCTTTTCGCCTTAATTGGTATGTAAAATGCGATGCAAATGAACGATGCGACATCGTTGCGATTTCGCTTCGGTAACGCCGTGCGATTCGGCAGGTTTATATTTCTAATAACGCGATGCACACAATCATGCGAGAATGGTATCGCACGCTTTATTTTTTACAAATTTTTTACTTGTTTTTTATGAGAGCGCGTCATAAGCTTGCCAATGAAAACCTCCGTTGTTAGTTAAATTACGTCGACGATGCCAGAATATTCTTTTATGGCACAAATGTATCGTGAATTTTCGATAATTCGTTGAATTTCGATAATTCGACCAATTATAAACGAACTGACGCGGAACATTCCGCTGTTTCTCTTGCAGCGCCTAGCTAATTTTCTTGCGCCAGGACAAATACACGCGCTAATTCATACGCGGTGTAAAATTTCCATGTCAAGGAACGAAGCCAGAAGCGATAATCTCACGAAGCAAGAATGCGAGAAACGAAGGGCCGGAAAATAGAGAGCGAAAGACGGAAGAAGTAGTCGGACGACGCGTAAAAACCAAACGAAAAGAACCCGTAGGACAAACAAAGGCGACGAGAGATCGGGTTAGAGCAACGACAAGAACTGGTAAAATTGTAACGGTGAAACCGACGGTATGAGTTAAGCAATAAAAACCGTCTGTGCGAAATGATGAAAATAACGACGGTTAAGAGGTGAAGGTGAAGAGGCAACAAAGGAGAGAGAACGTTCTCGTGCAAAAAAATGACGTCACTGGCCAACGGATGATACGTAGCAGAGAAAAAGCGGCAAGGAATCAAAGAATACAAGAAAAGGGAAAGGTACGCAGAGACCGTGAAAAATAGAAGGAAACGTTCGCTAGCGGAAGAACAGAAGCCAGTGTCACTCGGAAGAAAGAAAAGAGAGAAGGTAGGATGGCGCAGCGTCGTCGGGTGGATAAAGAAAAGCTCGTTAAGCTGATAAGAGAAAAAAAGCGGGGGAAAAAGTCCTTTTCCATTCGCACGGAGATTCCTTCTGAACGAATTGCACCGCTGGGAAAAAGTAGATTTCTTTAAACGGTGAATACCGTCGATCGGGCACCGGGGAACGAAACTTTGCCCGCCGAAAGAGATAAGTGTTACGCGGTTCGGTAGGCACGAACGACCCACTCTTCCCAGACATTACGAGCCCGTATATTCTGCTTCCTTCGTATCGCGAAACACCTCTCTGCTTGTCGATTGATTACTTCTCGTATAGTCTCGTTACGCGCTGCACACGCCCTCGATATTACATAAATCCTGAGAAACCTACGGCTGTCTTCCCAGTTAGCCAACCATCCACCGTTCTGAATTTTCGCGGAGACTGCCAGTTTGTCGCGTCAGTGACTCGTGATTTCCGGCATATCTCTCCGCTTTCCCGCCGCGCTCCGATATTTAATATTCGCCGTTTCAATTTCCAGAATATTTCTCCTGGTCCGAGAGAGAATCTTCACGTGCTTTATTGTGCCAAGCTATGCAAATTATTAGTCTCGATACAGTATCGTTAGAAATTTCGCACTAAATATTTTCTTCAATTTCTGTTTAAATGCTTCTTCGTTGCTTTCACCTAGATCGAACAAGCATTTCGATTATCTGTAATATACTGCAACACGAGATTGAGATTCTAGGCATAGCGGAAAATTCATATCGAGATATTAACAATATCAAATTCGTGTTCATGAATTTTGGATACTTGATCAAATTGGCGGCGCATATACGTAGCGAAGATCTTACACGGTCGAAACTTTCTCGGTTTATACTACAGGTATAATTAAGCAAAAGCGGTTATATAAACATAACTCATTTAAAGCTTTATTCGAAAGTTATGATAAAAATAAGAAATACAGAGAGAACGGTACTTTTGCCTCGAATATCGCCTCTGATTTTACGCCATTGGATTTTTATGTGCGTGTAACTTCGAAAAAGAAAGACACATCGAACAGATATTATTGCGTGCGATACGTGTAATACGAACTGATACAAAGAATTTACTGGTTCACCGAGATGAAACGAAATCAAAGTGAGTTTAATAGATAGCTGTTATACAAATATTACGTATATTATTAAAATATTATACATATTATATTGTACGATTAATAATATGTAATATGATATATATGTTTCGTTGTACAAACTACAAATTGCAGAATCTTTCATATTTTTTAATAAAGCATATACGTTTCTGCGCTTTGTTCGATAAGTAAGCTACATATAAACAGCGACTATTGCGTTTCTTGCAAACACCAAGAACATACTTATAAAGCGAGGAACGCGTACAGTTTCATAAAAAAATTCCATGCAACTCGTAAGTAACACGGAGAAATTTGAACGCGAGCGAAATGCGAAGCGAATACGTCTAAACATCCATCGCGGGTCACAATACGTCGTTTCTTGCCTTTCGATCAATCCGTAGGGAAGAAACCGTGTAGCGACTACATCGGTACACGGTACTCGTACAGCTTCTCTTTGAAAAAGGACTGTCGTCTCTGTTCGAATACATTCGTGCACGGCCCCGTTCGTACACGTCAGATTGATGGGTACACGGCTTGTATATTAAAAGAAGCCCGAAAAAAATCTGATTTGCAACGTGAAATTGAACTATTTCGCGCGCGATACAGAGAATCGGTACACGTGTATATTACGTGTGGCTTCTCTGACATTCAACAGAGGCAAAAGGGAGCTGGCCTGTCGCTTCGCGCGAATTCGTGTATCGACAAAATCGCTCGTTTTTTTTCCATTTCTTGTTTTTTCGTTTCTCGTTCACGATGTATCGGGAAATTAATCCGTTGCGAATGTCGGCTGTTCTTATTCCCGGACGTGTCACACGGAAGCAGTGCGGCACGGCAGGCAATGAATTTCACTTCAGAAAAGAACTGCACGGTTCCGGGAGAACTTAACGCCAACTTCCGAGTCTTATCGTTGGCTGACAGAGTTTCCAAACTTCTTGGTGAATTTCGAATAGGCGGCGAAACTTTCTGTTCTTTCGTACAATTGATGAACGCGTTCTTTTGTTCCAAAATCGTCTTATACTTTGGACACTTTATTTACAAAACTGGATCGATCGTACACCGAAGTTTAGGAGCAATTTAAGAAATAAATTTTTACCGATGTTCCCAAGTTGGTCGTAGCTGTGAGCTACTTTTTGTATTTATATACAACGCTTGTAACGCTTTCGTATCATACGAAATATCGTTAGAAAAACGTGTAAAAAAACTGAACTCGCAGCAAGATGGATCTTGATAGCGTAATGATCAATGCCAGTGACAGAAGAAAAGCGAGGCTGAGTGCCTACCTTTGTATGGTTTGCGCACGTAGAGTTCGCGTCACAATCCAAATGGGACGTAGTATGCTTTCAAAGAATCTGCATATGATGGTAAGCAAGATTTTACGTAGTCGTGTTTCGTATACGTTCGTTGCATTCGCTTGCACACGAACGACACGCTTGGAGACGAAAGAGTGCTCGACATTTTACAAATACGCATGGTGTTCAAGTGTTACACTTTCAGGAAGAAGCTGTTCTATCTTTGCCAGACTGCATTTCTGTTACGGGTTATCACGTAGACCAGCTTCGTGCGATACTCGAATTTCTCTGCTCAGCTTTCATTCTAGCTTAGTGATTATGACGCAACATTTGTTCCATTTATCCGAAAATAATTTATCCACGAAGAAAACTCAGTATTTTCTTGTTAGAAGTAAATATAGAGCGTCTACAGATGACTATCGTTTTGAATAATTGCTAAAGTATCGCCAACGGTATGAAAAAGATGTAAATGCGTTTTGTCTTTCTGTTTTATTCATAGAGTACGACAATGTGATAAAATATTCTCCTGTCGAATGCAAAGACTTATTTTCTTTTATTT